TAGGAGTTTAATTTAATCAAGGCACTCCTAATGATAATGGGCGCGTGCAGATTTAACGAAAGACCACCCTTGAAATAGCAAGGAATGCGACTCTTCTCCCAGCTTCAAGTCATTGAAAATAGGCGACAAGTAAGGCAAGTGCAATACTAATATAACTGCCGAAGCAGCGGCACGACTCCTCGAGTTGTCAATGACAATGTCATTGACCTTCACGACGTGCACGTGGTCATTGGGCGCGCCTTGATTAAATTAAACTCCTGAACTTTCAAATAAACCGGGTATAATATTAATTTTCTTGGTATTTCATTAAAGCCATGGGTAAAACGTTAATTAAAAAGGTAAAACATTAACCAAAACGGGTAAAAAATTAAATTTGTCGGTAAAAAATTAATTTGAACTGGAAATGCTGTAAACTCCTCAAAGATATAGCCTCGAAGCAATACAGACACACTCGAGTAGTAAGTAGAGCACTTCACTGGTGCTCATACCAACGCATATTCTAGGATCAACGCACAAAGGTTGTCAGTTGCAAATCTCGCTCGTCTTAAATCCCGAAGGAGCGTGTTCGCGCGCGTATGCGCGAACCTCGCTCGCCCATTATTCGTTGCATGAAACGGCTCGCAGCCCTCAGGATAAAATGGAGAAGATGAGAAGCGTTATCACCTGTTATGGCTATCCCAAGTGTTATTGAGTCAACCAGTGCGGGTGTGACTATTAACACACCCGATAATGCGTGCCGTCGCATAGGAGCGACATCAGCGTTTGAGCGTCAAACTTGATCGATGCGACGTCCTTCGTACTTCGAGAGTAACTCTTACTACATACACAACTGTTGTATATACTCTTGTAACTTCATACGCAATCATTCCATCAGTACGTTATTTTAACTAGGCAGGATGAGTGTTGAGCATAAAGTGGAGCGGTTGACACTGATAGAGACATCACATGTACATTTCGGAAACCTCAGAACATACTACGCGTTACGAGGCTGATTCATACTGAGGCCTGCCATCATCATAACTTCGAATGAGACGATTCCATTCCGAATACATTCCCAAAGGATCCACTCAGCGAATGGTCTCCACTTCTGCTCATGCGTGCAAACAGGTGAAGTACGATAAACTTCAGTGGATTACCAACAGGCAGTGATCACTTGCATCCTAAGAGAAAGTTGAATATAATTATATACTAACAGGAGTACATATGATGGTCTGTGGAGTGGAACGAAAGGCTGCAGTACTCGAGATGTAAAGGTTCACGGGCCGATATATGTACACGCGTATTTTAAATTGTCACTTACGTGTAGTGGAGTTTCACTCTGTTAGAATTGACAACGTAAGATAGACAAATGTACGAGAGGTAAAAACTGAGAATGAGGAGAGCTTAGCTCTCAGAGCTACGAAGAGATCAACTGGAGCAGCATAATTGAATAGGTTGTGGGTTGCAACGAGCGCACGTCACGCCGCAGATGGCGTCACGTCACTGCACGGACTCTGATGGAGCCTGTCTGCGTGGCGCCTGTCTGTAGGAGCGCTTGCCCATAAACATATATCCTCAGTTCTCATCACTCGTTTTACGTGAAGTGGCGTGATACTCTGTGAAAGAAAAACGATATTCGTGAAATATATTCTTCACTTGCGTATTTTCATTTCACTAGGGTCGTGAAACTCCAATGTATGACCTCGATGCACATCACATCAAATTTAGTTGTAATACTCAGCCTTCGGTCATGTCTTTCGGTATCATCATTCTTCTAGCTACTACCACTACTCTGTTGTTGCATCTCTCAGGGTGTAGTAGTGAATCCAACTCTAGTACTACTACCACAACTCGCCCACTTCCCAACATACAGGCTCAGGCGTAAGCTCGATACAATGAGGATGTTTATATAACATTATTAGATTCACTACTACGCCTACTGGGAAAAAATGGTCACCTATGTCGGTCAAAGTTTCGGGGGGGAGTGCGAACTCAGCTGAAATGAAAGTGAAAACTGGTGAGTGACGTTGGAGGGTATGCATATGGTCATCAACTACATGTGTTGGATATAATACGAAAATTGAGGGAATTTATTGCTGGTTTCTGCACACTTCTAAAGTAGTGAGGAACTCCTGAGCATACTCCAACACCAAACTCATCAGAGGTGTTGATACTATATGCATATGGCCATCAACTACATGTGTTGGTAACAGTACGAAACTTCTGAGGAAATTGTTGTTGGCAAAATGTGCACACTCTGAGGAAAGTGAACATATACTCCTCTTCCTACTTTACTGCGTGTTCAGATGCAGTCGACAAATGGCCAATCATAGGGTTCGGGGGCGCTGTTGCTGAGATGGCAGGATGGGCTATGAACCGCTTGAACCTCACTGAACAACAACGTCAACCATTTTTTGATATGTGAGTAGCGCGTAGGGAATTTTGGGAAATTTTTCCTTTATTCTTTGTACACTTCTACTATAGGTAGTAGGGAAACTCCTGGGCTTAGCTGAGGAAAGTAAATATATATTCCTCCAATAGTGAGTAAAATAAGCGCTGTTGAGGAAAACACGAAAACAGTGTGGAGGGAAAATATGCACATGGTCATCAACTACATGTGTTGGTGATGATGACAATGTAAAAATTATGCGGAAATTCTCGTTGGTTTCTGTACACTATTTTTACTAAGGAAACTCCTGAACTAGAGAAAGCGAACATATATTCCTCCAACACTGCGAAAAACCCTGTGTCGGAGTAGGAATATATGTTTGCTTTTCTCAGCTGAGCTCAGGAGTTTCCGAAGCTAATCATAGAAGTTCGGGTATAAATGTTCAGAAACTAACAAGAATTTCCTCGTAATTTTCATATCATCATCACCAATACATGCAGCTGACCACCATGTGTATATTTTCCCACACTGCATAAGAACACTCGAAATAATTTTCTTTCCGTTGAATTTTTGCCATATTTTTTCTTCTCTACACACTCTGTTTTTGCAGGTATTTCGGCGAGGACGGGGCCCGCTATAATTTCCTACGTCTTTGCATCCACACGACTTTCGACCATTACACGTTTGACGACGTACCTGATGATTTCGAATTGAAGCATTTTGATTATAATGTTAGCGGAGATCGAGAAAATTACAAATTCCAAACTGTTAAAAGGGTTCAGGAAATGGTACCAGAACTGACGATCATAGGTAAACTAAGTGGACGTGAATGAAACTAGTAGCGAAAAGTTTCATAATGCACTTGGCGGAAAATAATTTTGGAGTTTCACCACCCTAGTTATATGAAAAACAGTAGTGGAAAAAATATTTCACGATTATTACATAGCACGAATACCGCGTTTTTCACCGGGTATCACGCCACTTCATGTGAAAGCTTTACATGAAGATTAACACTAAAACGGAGACATGTACGCCTTATAAATCACATCGAGTATTGAATCACTTACTCACGTTAAACGAGTTAAACTTCAATGGAGTTTCACCACCCTAGTGATATGAAAAACATATTTTACGACTACTAAGGGACGAATCGAATATCGCGTTTTTCACCGAGGTTTACGCCACTTCACGTAAAACGGGTAGTGAAACTTGAATGCATCACTCGATTATATGGTAGGTCGTCACTAGAGTTTCACCCGTTCTATTTGAAGTAATGTAAATAAGGTCTGTAATACTCCATGTGAGAAGAACATTTTTTCGCTGTTGTTTTTTATATCACTAGGCTGAAACTCCACTATATCCAAGCCTTGTTTATCATCGGAAAACACTCATTATTAAATTTCAAATTTGTATATGAAAAAATACTCTCCCTGTCTGATGATCACAGTTCATCTCTCGTTATCAGGCAGTGCCTGGTCGCCGCCGTCGTGGATGAAACTCGGTAATCATAGTATGAACGGGAGCCCTAACCCTTGCCTCAAAGAGGACCCACGTTATCATAAGGCGTGGGCTGACTATCTCGTTAAATGGGTAGGTTGGGGAAAAATATGAGAAAATTTTGGGTTTCGTACAACCCAAAATCAAAAAAACCAAAATCAAAACCCAAACCCAAAACCCAATTCCTCAAACATTTTGAGAGGAAATATATGCACATGGTCGACTACTATTTCAGGAAATTATTGTTGGTTTTTGTACCTGAAATTCTATAATTATTGAGGAAACTCCTGAACTCTGCTGAGGAAAGTGAAGAAATATTCCTCCAACACTGTATCAGCTCAGTGGAGGAAAATATGCACATGGTCATCGAGTAAGTTGTTGGTGATGACAATATGAAAGTTCTGAGGAAATTTTGAGAATTCATCATCATTTTATTTCTGTACATTTCTACTTTTCTTGTATGATTAGTGTAAACTCAATTGAGTGAAACGAATATATATTTCATCCACAGGTGGACGCTTATGAGAAATTAGGAGTACCAATATGGGCGATAACGCAACAGAACGAACCGCAGTAAGTTGGTAAAGTGAATATGAAATTGTGTGAGTAGTGATGTTTTGATAGGAATTATGTAACTCAAAATTGGGCGACTTGCATTTTCACACCTGAGGCTCAGCTCGCCTTTATACGAGATCATTTGGGACCAGCGATGAAGGCGGCGAATAAAAGCACTAAGTTGTTATTCAATGACGACGATAAGAATTTCCTACCAGAAGTTGCTAAGTTGATTATTGAGGATGATGTCGCTGCTGAGTAAGAACTGTTTATCGTTAGAGTTTCACCCTTTTTACGTGAAGTGGCGTCGTAAAAATCGGTGAAAAACGCGATATCCGCGCTATGCCGTGGTCGTGAAATATGTTTATTACGTGTGTTGATGTTAGCAATGTTGGAATTTTCAGAGAGTCTTATTGTTGGTTTTTGTATACTTCTGTCTGAACTCGTATGTAAACTTGTATAAACTCTGCTGAGAAAAGGAAATATATATTCCTCCAACACTGGAGTTCACAACTTGTTGTACGCGAAGTGGCGCAATACTCGGTAGTCGATATGCAGTAGTCGTGAAATAAATTTCTCACTAGTGTTTTCCATATCACTAGGGTGGTGGTGAAACTCCACCGTATCTTGTCGCAGTCAACTACATTTGTTGATGATGACAATATGAAAATTTTGTGGACATTTCGAGAGATTTTTGGTGGTTTCTGTACACGTGCCCAGTTCGAAATCCAGTCCTATGTTGCCAATGTCGAGCAATTCTTCGTCGACTTGTTTGTCTGCCTGTACTATCCCCAGCAGCTTTGATAGCCACGTATTGTTGCCGTTT